TGCTCCCGCACCTTGCTCAGCCAGTGAGCAGGAACCGGTCTGTATGTGGGATCTGAACCCTCGGCGGGAGCGCCGCCACACTCCCAAGCGGCGCACTGTAGCAGTGCGCCACCGGGCCGGCCCATCTTTTTTCTATTTTTAAAGGAACTTTTTTTTTTTTTTTGGCAGCTGGCTGTATGGGAATCTGAATCCTTGACCTTGGTGTGGTAACACCACACTCTAACCAACCGAGCTAATGGGCCAGCCCTGAGTTTTTTAAGGAACAGACACCACTGGTTATTATGAACTAGACTAAAGCTCCATGACGTCTTTTGACACATTTAGTTTATTGCTATACCTTGAATGTTTAAAAATGTTTCTGGTATACAAAAGGCACTTAATAACTATTTGATGAATCAATAAGCCAAATCAATCTTTTTTTTTTTTTTGGCTGCTGGATGGTACAAGATCCAATCTTGAATCAATCTTCAAAGGATGCTCCTGATAATAAGTCCCTACTGTTCTCAGAGGTAGTCTTCAAATTATAAACCATTTCAATATGAATTCCTGGTTGACTATTTCAGGCTACCTTATAAATTAAGGCACTCCACATTTTTAAAGTTCCTGGGGTTCCTATCTGTTGTGAATTCTTTTCTGTGTCCAACAAGATATGATTTGCCGGTGAAGGCTTTCCCACATTAAGAACATTCATAAGATTTTTTTTCCAGTATGAGTTTTTTTATGCAAACTGAGACTTAGCTTCCGGCTGAAGGATTTTCCACATTCATTATACACGTAGGGCCTCTCTCCACTATGAATTTTTTGATGGGTATAGAGGTTTGATTTCTGAAAGAAAGCTTTCCCACATGTATTACATTCATAGGCTTTTATTCCAGTATGGATTATTTTATGTTGAATGAGGTTTTTCTTCTGAATGAAGGTATTACCACATAGATTACACTCATAAGCTCTCTCCCCAGCATGAATTTTCTCATGATCAATGNACACGTAGGGCCTCTCTCCACTATGAATTTTTTGATGGGTATAGAGGTTTGATTTCTGAAAGAAAGCTTTCCCACATGTATTACATTCATAGGCTTTTATTCCAGTATGGATTATTTTATGTTGAATGAGGTTTTTCTTCTGAATGAAGGTATTACCACATAGATTACACTCATAAGCTCTCTCCCCAGCATGAATTTTCTCATGATCAATGGCATTTGATTTCTGGGAAAAGGCCTTCTCACATATGCTACATTTATAGGGTTTCTCTCCAGTGTGTGTTCTCTCATGTTGCACAAGAGCAGACTTGTAAACAAAAGCTTTTGCACAGTCCTTACATCTATAGGGCTTTTGTCCAGTGTGTACTTTTTTATGTTTAATGAGGGTTGAGCACTGTTTGAAGGATTTCCCACATTCATTACATTGATAGGCTTTCTCGGCATTATGAATTTTCTCATGATTAATGCAGGATGACTTCCAGGAAAAGGCCTTCCCACATGTTTTACATTTATAGGATTTCTCTTCAATATGAATTTTCTGATGTTGAATGAGATTTGACTTTTGCTTGAAGTCTTTTCCACACTCATCACATTTAAAGAGTTTCCCCTTTGCATGAATTTTCTGATGTCCTTTGAGTTTCCACTTCTCCCTGAATGCTCTTCCACATGTATTACATTCAAAGGATTTTTCATCAGTGTGCACCCTGAGGTGACTCTGAAGGCATGTCTTTGAACTGAATAATTTTCCACAGGCATTACATTTAAGTTGGCTTTCTACAAATTTGGATGGATTATGGTCAACTAATTGTATGTATCCACTATATTTATAAATATTTTTTTCACAGCTTTTCATATCTAAACTATGTTTCAAATATCTTTCAAATGGGTCACGTCCGAAGAATCTGAGTCTTGCAGGAACATCATCTATGCTCAGTAGAAATATTTCTTTAAATTTTTCATGTTCAATGCCTTTTTGCTTAGTCAACATTGTTTTGTTGGCCGATGCAACTTCTTTTGTCGTGAAACTCTCTTCCACATCCTGGGGCCTCCAAACGTGCCCCTCATTGTTCCAGTCTTTTTCTAAAACAGAGTACAAAATGCCCTGTGTAAATCTTTCCACTCTCATGATTGAAATGAAATGCCACACACAGTGTCTTGTGGTAGTCACCGTCCAGTGTCTGTGGGAAACTGAATTTAATCTACCTTTAGAGAGGAAAGTTGAAGAATGTAACTAACTACATATGGTCAAGTAGATGTGCTGCTAGGGGCATATTATCAAGAATGATTAAAAAAAAAAAAA